GTGCATAAGATTCACCCCGGCTGAATCATGCCTCGGCTGCTATACAAGGCGGATTTGTCTTGTGAGATGTTTGCCCCCCGGGGGGGTTAATCATCTGCTACAAAGCCGTTATCACCCCCCTCCGGTGCTGCCGATCCCCCAGATGTTCCTTTTCGGGCTGCCAGCCAATAAGCGGCCCCGCTGCCATCGCCCCTCTCCGCTCCTTCTGCGGTACCCGGGCGGACCCGCCGCGCAGTGTTAGGATACGGGACTCACCTTGAAGGTGTCCGGGCCCCCCCCGGCCGTGTCCTGCTCCGCCATGGGGTGAGCAGCGGAGGATCGCAGGTGGAAGGTGAGCAGAAGCAGGGAGCCGCACAGGAGGTAAGCCTTCCACTCCATGGGGATGATGAGGGGGGTACAGGCACCGATGTGTATTACACAGGGAGTACCCTTCTTCTGGGCTGGGCTCTGTGTGTGGGTAGATCTGTCCCCCTCTGTTTACACTATTAGCCCTGGTGTCCTTGTACACTGTGCTATCTGTGCCTATGGTACCCTCTGCCAGTCTGTATACTCCTCCTGGTACCCAGTCTATATACTCCTCCTGGTACCCAGTCTATATACTCCCCCTGGTACCCTTTACTAGTCAATATACTCCTCCTCAAACCCTCTGCTAGTCTATGTACTTCTCCTGATACTCTCTACCCTAGCACCCCCTACCTTGTGTCTTGGTCTACCACTCTACCAGTGCCCTCTCTAGTCTACTGTATACTCCTCCTAGTACCCTCCACTGGTCTATATATTCCTTTTGGTTCTCTCTACTAGTCTTAATACCCCTCTTGGTGTGCAAGTTCCCTCTCTCTGCCTATATAGTGCTCCTGGTACCCCTCTTCCAGCTCTGGTATCTTGTCAAGTCTATTCTTTATCCCCACTTGGTACCCTCTTGGGGCTTCTTGCAGTGCCCTCTGTCAGTCTACTCTCCTCCTGCTACTCTCTACTATATACTCCTCCTGTATATCCCAGTGCTCTGTTAGTATATATATGTTCCTTCTGGTTCTATCAGTCCTTGTATGCCAATGCCCTCCTGGTACCCTCTTAGGACTCCTGGCAGTGCCCCCTTCGTCTCTTTCCCCTGTCTCCGTAGCCCACCCTCTCATATATACCCCTGAGCAGTGACCTGAGCCGGGATGGTATCTGCACTCTTATCTAGAAACATTCCCCGAGCTGCAGGCAGCCGTCAATGACAAATCTCCTTATGAGGACCTCCTTTGGCTGGCTGAGGAATGTACAGCCCCCCCAAATGATGACTCTACAGGTCTGAATCAAATTCCTCATACCGGATACAGAGCCCAGGTGCTAATCTGTCCGAAAAGACGGCTAAATTAGGACACCCCCCCCTAATCCCCCTCCCCCGCTGCGTATAAGGAAAGGAAGTTCTGCCTTATTTTTTTAATTCTCATGTAATTAATTTGATTTTTCTTCCCAGCTTTCTGACACATTTGTATTTATTTCTTCCGCAGCCTCGTTGTCCTGGCTGACGTCCGCAGGTAAATAATGATCTGGTATCATTTATAAGTGGTGACGTCACGCCATTGATCCATGGAAGAGTCAGAACGCCGTGTGCAGGTACAGAGCGAGCCCGGGCTATGTCTTCACTGGAGAGGATTCATGGATGTCTGTGAAGGTGAAACACAACTAACAGTACAAACCAGAACCCACATAACACACGTCTATGGACCCGGACTGAGCAATTTCTGGAACTTCTGGACTTCTGTGTACCTCTTCCCTGTAACCCAATGTGATTTATCCTATCAGACAACTCCAAGAACAAACGTCTCAGCCAATATTCTCACATAGAACACAGATACCTCATACCGGCCAGATGTAAGTAGACGAAGAGATAGATAGATAGATAGATAGATAGATAGATAATAGATAGATAGATAGATAGATATCAAACTGGTCCCTTTAGTGTGTGTGTGTATGGTTGCAGTGGGGATATTAGATTGTAAGCTCCTTTGGGGCGAGGACTCATATAGATAATAGATAGATAGATGGATGGATGGATGGATGGATGGATGGATGGATAGATAGAGAGAGAGCAAAGACACTTTTGCTCAACTGAAAGCAAGCCAGAAAGATTAAAAAGAAAAGAAAAGGTCGATCGATATGAGATTCCCTCCCCAGCAGCACATACTCATCTCATCTCCATTCAGGTGTTGGAGGAGAGGAGGTCATGTGTCATTGGATTGTAAGGGGTTAAGGTCGGAGTCATGTTACAGTGACACAGGGACCATGGGGAACAGACGTAGCCCCCCCTCCAGAAGGAAGGACAGTGTCAGAGATGATTGGAGGATCTACAGCCGAGTGATACACAAATAAGATACATTGTTGAAGGTACTTGAATGAATTATTATGATTCAACTCCTAAATTAAGTGTCACTTTAAGATTAAAGTGAGGTGAAGGTTGGAGTGCGGTGAAGGTTGGAGTGCGGTGAAGGTTGGAGTGGGGTGAAGGTTGGAGTGGGGTGAAGGTTGGAGTGGGGTGAAGGTTGGAGTGCGGTGAAGGTTGGAGTGCGGTGAAGGTTGGAGTGCGGTGAAGGTTGGAGTG